TAGTCCTTGTTGCGGTTCAGGTGCTCCACGTGGGCGGCCGTGTTGAACATGACCTTCTTGGGCACGCAGCCGAAGTTGACACAGGTGCCGCCCAGACCCATGCCGTCGAACTCGCGGCCGCGCTCTACGACGAGGACCTTGGCCCCGAATGTGGCCGCACGTCTGGCCGAGGCCATGCCGCCGCTGCCGCCGCCGATCACCATGTAGTCGTACACGACGTCTGTGCTCATGATTGGATATAAAGTGACTTGAGCTCTAGGGAGAGTTTTAGATTGTGACGTCAGCCGAAGATCGGTTTGAAAATGAGAGAAGAGTTCTGTGCAATCACAGAGCGGTATACGTAATCGCATTAGCCAATTGGAAGAGAGGAAAGTGATGCGTGGACCACATTGATTCAGGGTCGGAAGCGGTGGGACAGAGCAAGGTGATGATGATGTGCCAACACTTCGCCATCGGACTTAAATGATGTGGATGCAATATGCCGTGAACGTATACGTCGTATTGCAAGCCTTGTGCTGTAATGTCCGTCGGTCGGATTCTTCTCTGCAGACAGTCTCATCTTCCTCTTAATGCAAAACACAAAGGTTGCTTTAGTAACGAAAAGTGCTCTCACGTCGCAGATATGATTGCGTAACATGACCACAAGATGGCTGCAATTTACCTCAACTTTTGCAAGAATTTTACATGTATCCATATTTACCCAAATTATCTCGTCAAAAGCACAGAACGCTTGCAGGGGAGTACGATTCATCACGCCAAACCTTATTGTAGCTAGGCACGAAAGTGGCAGTAGCCTACCTAGTAGAGTCGCCGCTTGGAGTGCTACTCGTTAAGTAGCTGTAGGTCTGCTCACGACTAGGGTCCTCACCACAAACGTTATAATATTACCGACGCCAACAGTCTTTGCACCGCCAAGTTGTCGGGTCCCAACATTGGTACTAACACCTCCACCACCCTTACCAGGACGGTCGTACCGACATTAGCTCCAACAATGACATCTGCACCGGTCATGATTCCAACTTTCAACGTTGGTATCTGCTCCAGTTTTCACACCCAGCCCAGTATCAGTCTTCAATCCGACGTCTAAGTTGCTTCCAGCAATTACTTCTGCACCGGCACCGACCTTGCCACCACCGAGGCCAGCTCCTTCGTGATCCCCACGTCGGTATCCACTTCAGTGTCAATGCCTGCACCAACTCCAATATCAGCTTTACACCCAAGCCCCGGATAAAAATAATTGAGAACCAATTATTATGGTATTGGGTGGGTGGGTGGGTGGGGGGGGGGGTAACAATTATTTATTATTGAAAATTGTCAAAAGCTGGTATTACTCGGCGGTTCGGCCCATTATTGAATTTTCCAAAAAACCTAACCGGTCCTACTACCAGAACCGTCACCATTCATTTCACGAAGGCTCGCAGCACCAATAAATAACAGATACTCATTCCTACTAGTTCATTGTTCATTTTAAATTTACCATAGCCTCTAACAAGGATCTGTGTCAGTACTTCTTCACACTCGAGGCTCCAGGGATCTACAAGTGCCGTTATTGCCCCAAATTGCGGAAGTAAGCGCCAGGAATCGGGTTTTCTAATCTAATAGGCCACCTAACCGACAAGCACCCCCAACACCAGGAAGCCTACAAGGAACACGAGCGCAGTGGCTGCAAGGCTTTAGCGATTTCGTCACTGATTACGCGTGTACTGTTTACAACTGGATGAATTGGGTAGACGGGCGGAACATGCCCATCGAAGAGGTAGACAACGAGGTTACGCGTGCTATGTCGCGTTGGAATTCTGTCTCGTCTAAGACGCTTAAAAAGTACGTGGCACTCGTGGAGCGCGAGGTAGAGGCCGCTATAGCTGAGGAAATGCCCGAAAGCAAAGGGGGCATGTTCGACGGCTGGAGTGCTGGTTCTACTTACTATGTTGGCATCTACGCTGACTACATGGTCGACGACTTGGCGCAGCGAGTGTTGTTAGCACTCGCTTCTTTACTCGATGGGAACGATTTTGGTGCTGACGCACATATTGCCCTTATCATCGAAACCCTTGCCGTCTTCGGCAAAGATCCTGGCTGCCTTCGCTTCATCGTCGGCGATAACTGTGCCACAAACCAGGCCATAGCGACGCGCATGGGCCTGCCTCTGGTCGGCTGCGCTAGCCATAGGCTGAATTTGGCTATTCAGCA